AGACAGATCAAATGTCATGATTTGTTTAATTGACAAAAATGTAATTGCAGGAAAATTGCTGTGGTATAAGAGACATGAGACACTTTGATGGAAACTCAGGGGAGATACAGTACAGTATGAGGAATAAAAACACTTAGAGCGTGTGCAGTTAGGAAAATAATACACTTCAGTACGGTAAAAGTAGCTCCGCTTCGGGTCAGATCACCACCACTGATTATTTTCCTGTAAGAGTGGATATCTCCCACTGATGAGTATCCAACCGGGGAGCCATAAAGTTAGTAAAGGACGTCATGGTCTGTGGCCAGATAAACAAATATGTACTTTTAAAAATATAAACCCTGAAACTTGTGTGTGTATATATACATATATATATATATATATATATATATATATATATATATATATATATATATATTCATCCATCCATCCATCCATCTTCTATACCGCTTATCCTTTTCAGGGTCGCAGGAAACCTGGAGCCTATCCCTGGGGACTCGGGACACAAGGTAGGGGATATCCTGGACAGATTGCCAACCTATCACAGGTCACAATCGCACACACACACTCACACACCCATTCACACACTACAGACAATTTAAAGCTGCCAATCAGACTACAGCACAGGTCTTTGGACTACAGGAGGAAACTGGAGTACCCGGAGGAAACCCCCGAAGCACGGGGAGAACATGCAAACTCCTCGATCTGAATATATGCAGCCTGTTTTGTGTGTGTGTGTGTGTGTGTGTTTTTTTAAGAAATACTGTGTTGCTTATTTTTAGTCACAGACGAATGAGTCTTATAGTGTGAACAGCAGACAGAAAAACCTAGCTGAGGAGCCTTTTATTGATTTTTTTACTAACAGGTTGAAAGGGTGGTGTGAGTCCTCAGATTTCTCTTTGCCGTGTTTTGGAGTCACTGGATCGGTGTGGCTTGGAAGAGCATGCACTCGGAAAGATGTCAGTTTTATTTTATTTCATATTAATACTAATACTATTATTATTATTATTATTATTATTATTATTATTATTACATATACATTTATTAATTTAGCAGATGTTTTTAATACAAGCTAAATATTATTTAGTGGTTGTTCTTATCACTTCGTTGTACTTATAAACTGTCATTTATAGAAATGTTTTGTTGTTGTTGTTGTTGTTTTAGCTTTAGGTTGTACTATGCATATAACCCCTGTGCATTCCCAGTATTTGCGCAGGCGCTCGTGCACGCCGCCCCGTTGCGCGTGTAACATAACATCTCTGATAACACAGTGAAACTCTGATGTTGTTATGTAATCCAGACGGCGTGGCGTCATCAGTACAGTTGTCCACTTCAGAGCTTATTGCATGAACACTGATTGACATGACTTACTCGGAATTCCTTGGGCCGGTCCGACAAAGCGCGGTGGACATCTGAGGCACCAGGGACCGGCAGCGCGTGTCTGCGTCCGCGTCCTCCGTTGACGAGTCCATGCTTGCACAGCTGGGCACAGCTGGTACCAGCTGCATGTCTTGTGGTGAGTTGCGCTCGGTTTGAGGAGCCGGTGTCCGCAGAGGAGAGGGCGTCCCGTCCCTGCTGGCCAAAGCGGAGGAGGTGCGAGGGGGCGGATGAGGCCGCGAAGGGTGCCGGTGTGTGGCGTCGTGGAGTCGCCGGTTTTCTCCAGCCAGCTCTTTCAACTTGCGCTCGAGCGTGTCGATGCGATGCCGCTGGGTCTGAATGAGGCCCTGCTGGTTCTGCACGATAGTCGTCAACTCCTTGAGATAGAGCACCGCCTGGAGAGGGTTCTCCAACAGGCTCGACATGCTGCCGGACCGGAGAAGCGCGCCGAGGCAGAGAACGGAATCAGGCTGCGCGCTCAGCTGGACGGAGAGAGAGAGAGAGAGAGGGAGAGAGAGAGAGAGAGAGAGAGAGAGATGGAGAAGGAGAAAAACTCCCACCTCCGCCTCCGCCTCCGGAGGAAAGGATGCGCGAGATGGTGCTGATGCGAGGACGTCCAAACATAAGCACACGGGGGGCGGGGTTTCAGGAGTGACGCAGTGACGCACGTACGAGTGCACTGTAAAGGATCGCTCAGACTGACAGTCAGGGGGTAGAGGGTTAATTCACTATTAACCTCTGAGATCCTAAACTTTTTACTCGCCCAGACAGACAGACAGACAGACAGGCAGACAGAAATAGATAAATACATGTTGTCTGACTTTTCCTCGCGTAACATTTCCACTGATTTCTTATTTATACATATTCTGAAAATTCAGTAATATTCAGGCAGTGAATTTATCCTGATACCTCTGGTATACAGTAAGGGGGGACCGGGGGGTGTGTATTTTTGTGAATGTTTTGAACAAAAGATCAAAAGGTTAAACAATAAAGACAATTTTTCACAGCCTTCTTTGCTCATATTTACCAAGGGTGCCAATAATAGTGGAGGGCACTGTACATGGAGTATTGCACTCCCTGGCTTGAGCACGGTTATGTCAGTGTTGTCAGAAAATCCTTCCATCCGTTATAATCCTACCGACCCACGTTCATATCCATTACAACTCTTCCCTTCCCAAGCAGTGTCAAAATTCCCTTTCCGATTCGGCGATGATGGGACTTAAACATCACATCTGCAGTGAACGTTAAGACATTCTCCAAAATGGAGGACATATTAATTAACGGTTATTAATTAACTGTTGATTCCCAAAGAAAGTCATATATCAATCCACTTCTAGTGCAGAGAGAATTCCTTTGAAGGGTGTGGGTTACTGATTAGAAGGTCAGGGGTTCAAGTCCCAGCACCACCAAGCTGCCACGGTTGGGTCCTTGAGCAAGGCCGTAAACCCTCTGTGCTCCAGGGTTGCTGTACCATGGCTGACCCATGTGCTCTGACCCCAACTTCCTATCGAGCTAGGGTATACGAATAAAAGAATTCGCCCGTCCTTTGATTTCCGTGACAAATAAAGTTTTCTTCTTCTTTGGTGCGCACATATTTTCCCATCAATAAAACCATTGGCTTACATTAGGCCTTATACTTACAATCATGTAAATCCTGCAGGATGATCCTGAGACCTTTTTAAGAAACATCCAGTTATCTCCTACAGCTGGGGCGCAATTATCAAAGACCTGCTTGTCAGAAGTGAATTAGATGATCAGCCTCAAAGTAACTCTGGTACTTCTACATGCAAGTGTTCAAGATGTTCCACTGCGAATGTATTAATACATCCTCAGAAGCATTTTTCACTTGCACATCTGATGAAGGATTCTTGTCAGAAACATACTGTTTCTCTGGAAACATTGTGTACTAGGCTTAATTTGCAAAAAAACAAAACAAAAAAACAACAACATTCTATTATTATTATTATTATTATTATTAGCAAAGTACACAGCAGTTACATCCTAGATTCTTCCTCAGTATATACATATACAGTCCTCTACTAAAGTATTGGAACGGCAAGGTCAATTATTTAGCTTCTCAAAAAGCTCATTTTCAGCTCAAGTGAATATTTGGCATTTTGAACCTGAAAGCTATTTAGAATGAATTGAACCTTGAGTCTGGTGCCTTAGACCGCTGAGAAATCCTGACACAATGGCAGCGCTGTCGTCCCTCCTTAGTGTTCTTCAAAAAATTATTTTAAAAAGGCACAACAGTCTCTAGAGTCTAGAGTTTTCATGGAATGAGTATGACAACAAAAAAAATCAAAGCTTCCAGAGAGTGACAGTGGATGGAAGCGACATGTTGACGAGGGAGGTCAGTGGAGAATGGTCAGACTGGTTCAAGCAATCATGAAGGCTAAGGTCATTTGAATAACCACGCTTTACAACAATGGCGAGCAGAAAAGAATGGAAGCGGATGGACTACAGCAGAAACAGACAGTTTAGGTGAATATACAAAACTGGACGTTTCTAACAAACGTGCTTCACCAACTTCGCCAGCAAAGTGCTCTTAGATCAAGCGACGTTTCTGCGGTTTGAGGGGCAAAGGAGCATTCATTTTGCATTTTGGTTAATACCTCCATGTGGAGACCAGAAGACTCAGCTATCAGCTAGGAAGGGACTGAACCTTGAGTCTGACTGATTAGACCTCTCGGCCATTCTAACAAGCAAACAGTACTGTCCTTTCTCCTCAGCGTCCCCCAAAAAAGATTGATCATAAAAAAACCCAATGCATCGCTGATGATGGAGGTCAGAAGAGAATTTCCAGACTGGTCTAATTAAACCTTGAGCCTGGAGCCTTAGACTGCTCGTCCATTTGGAGACATTGCCCTCGCTTCTTAGTATCTGAAAAAAAGAAAAGAAAAAAGTCACCACTATCACTAGAGTTTGCACAGAATGGTTGGAGAAACAAAAAACACCCCATTCTGTGGGCAGAAACGTCATGAGAGAGATAATTGGTGAATGGGCACATTGGTTGGAGCTATCAGGGAGGCTATGGTAACTCAAGTAACCCATCTTTACCGCTGAGTTGAGCAGAAAAGCATTTCAGAACATGCACTGTGTCGAACCTTGAATCTGATGGGTTACAACAGCAAAAGACCACATAGCAAACATTTCTAACAAAAACAACTGTGCAAAGCAAAGTGCTCTCATATCAAGATTCTGTTTGAGAGTCGGAAAAAAAAGCCAACTGTCAGAAGTGGTATTTGAACCAACGTCACCAGGTGGAGACCAGAACACTCTGCTAACAGGATGGGCTTAATCCTTGAGTCTGGCACCTTAGACCACGCGACCACAACGAGGAATAGCTTCTCTCCTTACTCTCCACTGTCCTTAGTGTCCAGCAAAAAGGGAAAACTGGCACATACGTCTCTAGAGTTTGTATAGAATGGCATGACAACAAAAAGCATGTTCTAAGAAGCAGCTCTGCAGGTGGAAATGCCTTGTTGATGAGAGAGGTCAGAGGAGAATTACCAGATTGTTTCAAGCAGTCAGGAAAGAAATGGTAACTAAAATAACCTCTCTTTATATCAAGAGGAGACTTAGACAACATCAAAGCACAATGTGGGTTGGCTACAACAAAGATCTGTCAAAAGCAGGATTTGAACCGGTGCCCCCATGAGGAGACCAGAACACTCAGCTACCTGGAAAGGATTGAAACTTGAGTCTGGCGCCTTAGACCACTTGGCCATTCTGACTCAGTAAAAAACTGCATCCTTACTGTCTTAAAAACTCTATCAATAAATACATGTAAATAGAGATTCTGCGTACTGTGTATCTTCTGGGTCCATTACCTACAGCCCCAAGGAAGTTAATAAAGTAATGTGAAAAAGTTGAAAAGAAAATCTAAATACTACTACTATTGCTACTACTACAACTACCATTACTACTATTACTATTACTATAACTACTACTACTACTACTACTACTACTATTACTATTACTATTACTATTACTATTACTATTACTATTACTACTACAACTACTATTACTACTACTATAACTAGTACTATTACTATTACTATAACTATTACTACTACTACTACTACTACTACTACAACTACTATTACAATTACTATAACTACTACTACTACTATTACTATCACTACTACTATAACTTTTACTACTACTACTACTATAACTATTACTACTAATATTACTATCACTACTACTACTACTACTACTATAACTATTACTACTACTACTACTACCCACTACTACTACTATAACTATTACTATAACTAGTACTACTACTAGTACTACTACTAATAATAATAATAATAATAATAATAATAAGTCGCTTATTTTAGATAATCAATTGCAAGGCTGTGCTTGATATACAGTCTTCGGTTCGAATACACTCGTTAAAACCGTAACGAATCTGCCAGTGTCAATCAACAGATAGTCATAATCCATTGTCATGTGACCACGGGACGCGGAAGTTTTGACCCGGAAGACTCGTGCAGCGTCTTCAGTGTGTGATGCGAGGAAAGTACATCGTCTCGTTCTAACATTTTAGAGCTCGACTCTCTAAATGGGCAGGTAAATTAAAAAAATTTATACATAAATCCCCCGAGGTATTTTATTCGGTAAATAATTAGTAGTAGTTTTAACAGAACCGCCGTTCGTCTTTTGGTGAGCTGATGCTAAGTTTGCTAAGCAAGCTGTTTACATGCGGGGGGGAGACGTAGACGGTTTTTACTTCATGACAACAAAATGTCACACGGTCGCCTTTCACACGCTGTCGACAACATCATCTATTAGTCAGTTGATTAGTTAATAAGATAAGAAGAAATGTCCGTTTCCGGCTTAGTGTAGCGTCGTGTCACGTGACTCTGTTGTTGTTGTTGTGGTAGTGGTAGTTGTTGTTGTTGTTGTGGTGGTTGTTGTTGTAGTGGTTGTTGTGGTGGTGGTGGTTGTTGTTGTTGTTGTGGTGGTGGTTGTTGTTGTGGTGGTGGTTGTTGTTGTTGTGGTGGTGGTGATGGCTGTATCACTGTAGCGGTGTTAGGGTTAGAAATGTTGACGTATGATAACCTGCTCTGCAATTATCACGGTTTGAAGGTATTAATCGATTATTCTAACACACACACAGTTGGTGGTAAAAACAAAAGGAACCGTTTATTACAAGGTGTCACGTGTCTTAATGGTCGTCCTTACGTTGTCAGTTATTTATCACGTCGTCGTCGTTGTGAGCTGACAGAGCGCTTTTTTAAAAAATTTCTCTCATTTCTCTTTATCGCTTGGATACAATTGAACAAACTGTTCCCGTCTCCAGGTCCACCGAGCGACACGACGATACCGTGGGCCCAGGATCACATCTACATGCAAACAGACGACCGGACCGTGTCCGACGATGCTGTAAATACACCGAAGAGTATTGATCGATTGTGGGATCGGCGATAACAAAGGCGTAAGATTAAGGTGTGCAACGCTGCTGAGCTGAAAACAGCCCTGCGTTCGTTTTAGTCCTGATCGGCGGCGACGTGATCTCGCGTGCATGTGCGTACGAAAGCCGGCGTGTACGGTCTCTTTACGAACACGCCGCAGGAGAGGTAAAAAAAAAAAACCCGAAGAGGTTTTCGACAGTAGCGAAGTAAACACACGCGCTGGAGAAGCACAGTACAATCTTTCACCCGGAGAGATCCGAGCTGAAGCGTGCCCAAATCCCGCGTTCTGACGAAAAGTAAACGCGAGAGCTGTCTTTCGTATGACTATTTTGTACGGAAACGAGCAATAAGATAAAAAAAGATAATAATAAAATGTCGATGGAACTATTGACCAGGGAGACGGAGGCAGAGAGAACAGTGCGAAACCTGAGCACGTCACTCTGCCACACAAATAACACAAGAACAGACGGATTTGAGTTCCTGTCTGGCGCTCGTCGGGTGTTTCTCACAGCTGTACTCGCAGCTAGATGCAGAAGGTGTTCACACTACGCAAGTCTTCACTAAGAAAAGAAGAAACGCAAGAAGATATCCTTCCGTCCTCGAAGAGTGAGAAAATCGCGGCGCTGATCCGTTCACACTAAACAAGGTGTCGACAAGCTCCGAAATTCGTTAGACTCGGGGCGAAGCTCAAATTGTGTAGTGTGCACTAGGGGTTTAGGGTGGGACCGGAGGGACGGGGTTGCGCAATCCAACGTGCATTCCACGAGAACCACTGGAGTAAAGAACAAGAACATGTGGAGGATAAGAGATGGAAATGCATTTTAATGTGTGTTTTCAAAAGAGCGTTCTGTATGAATATCACTCTTCACATACACCCCTCCATCTGTCTACGTCTGTGCAGCGGATCATCCAGTATATTGGATGATGATGATGATGATGTGTGTGTGTGTGTGTGTGTGTGTGTGTGTGTGTGTGTGTGTGTAGGATGACTCAGAAGTACCACCTGGAGGGCCAGGTCTATTCTGTGCCACTGATCCAGCAGGACCTGAGGAGGGAAGAGGCCGTGCACCAGATCACTGATGCCCTGCAGTACCTGGAGAACATCTCCACAGATATCTTCAGCAGGTAATTCCCCGTCGCCCCAGATCACACGCGTGTGAAACATGCATCAAACAAACAAACTATCTATCTATCTATCTATCTATCTATCTATCTATCTATCTATCTATCTATCTATCTATCTATCTATCTATCTATCTATCTATCTATCTATATATGCATCAAACTATCTATCTATCTATCGATCTATCTATCTATCTATCTATCTATCTATCTATTATCTATCTATCTATCTATCTATCTATGCATCAAACAATCTGTCTGTCTATCTATCTAACTATCTGTCTGTCTATATATGCATCAAACAGTCTGTCTATCTATCTATCCATCTAAGCTTCAAATAATCTATCTGCCTGTCTATCTATCTATCCATCAATCTGTCGGTCTGTCTATCCATCAATCTATCTATCTGTCTGTCTGTCGGTCTAGTTACCTGTTTGTCCATTCGTCTGTCTATCTCTTTGTCGCTCTGTCCATAGTCAAATAATTTTTTTTGTTTTCCTAAACTCAAAATATTTTGTATCTGTAACCAAACTGTTGTCATGGGTTTCATGTGTAAACCGAACAGGACTTTCCAGTTCAAATAACTGAGGGAAAAAAGGTTTAGATGAAGTTCTTGGCATTTAAATATAAATAGAAGCATTTTAATGAAAATTCTTTAAGAAAAGGTCTGATAAATATTACAACCAAATATTTCTGTGATGATCAACTGTAGCGCTCCAGAAGATATTAATATTGATTAATATTAATATAAGCACGTGTTAATGAGGATTATACCTGCACTTCATCGTTAACATGCCCGCTGTACAAATCTATTTCTGTTAATAAAGTTGTTAATATTAAGAAAAAAGAATGTTCAAATGTAAATCTTTCTAAAATAAAAGGTTGTGAAAGGTTTTCTCTTTTTCTTCTATATGCATGTGGGGGTTTTTTTGTGTTTAAAAAAAAACTATATGCTAATATCAGCTGCAGGATTGGAGAAACCAGCCGTAGTGTTACCATGACAACATAGTGGAGAAGAGATGGTTTTCTTGGGGTGTGTGTGTAAAGATAACTGCTGGTTTTCTGGGTCAGCTCCATTACGATGCACTCTCTCTCTCTCGACTCTCTCTCTCTTTCTCTCTCTCTCTCTCTTTTTTTTCCTTTCTTTTTTTGTTGTAATTTCTCTTCATTTCAGCCCATTTCACTCCTCATTAGGTAACAGGGTGTACTCAAGGTGTGTGTGTGTGTGTGTGTGTGTTCATGCACAGGCTTGCATGCTTTATATAGCTCGCACACATCAGCTAAGCACTACAGGCATGACTGTACTGTTTCATGTTTTGTTAATCATGATGTAGGGAGAAATTATAAAGCAACATGGTCTCTCTCTCTCTTTCTCTCTCTCACACTCACACACACACACACACACACACACACACACACAATTGAGCGTTTTGGTTTTGCAGGGTGTCTCAGAGTGTGGAGAGGAACCGTGCTCACCTTCAGGCCGTAACTGACCGCATTAAACTAGCTCAAGCACGAGTCCACAAGATTAAAGGAAGCAAGAAAGCCACCAAGGTGATAAACACACTGTCAGTATAAACACACACACACACACACTTTTTTTCATATCTATTACACCTGGGGTGTCCAATCTTATCCGGAAAGGGCCGGTGTGGGTGCAGGGTTTCATTCCAACCGCGCAGGAGCCACTGTGTTACACCATGCTGCTGTTACACAGGGACTTTTTTTTGGCAGATGGTTGGTGTGATTTTATTTAGCCAAACAATAACTATTTATTTATTTATTTATTCATTTATTAATTTTTACATGTTGGTGGATGTGCACTTCCTTCTCGGTCGGTCCAGAAGTAACAAACTGCCTCATGTTCTGCCTCATTTTCCGATATCAGGACGCACCATTAGGTCCCGTACTTAACTCAGTATTTTGATCCGAGTCCGTAACTCCGTTATTAATCCGTATGGACTCGAGGCACAGAGGCAGCACTTGCTTTGCACATGATCTGCAGAATGGAATTAGTATGTGTACGCTAAAGAAAAAATCTGCTCGGTTTTGTGTCTGATCGAAACCTACATGATTAGGTGTTGATATTATGCGTGTGTGTGTGTGCGCAGGTGTTTTCCAGTGCTAAATACCCCGCTCCTGAGAAACTCCAGGATTATTCGTCCATATTTATGGGTGCGGTAGATCCA